AAATCCCCCGGAATTCACCCCAAAAATCCCCCGGAATTCACCCCAAAAATCCCCCGGAATTCACCCCAAAAATCCCCTCCCCCAAATCCCTCCCCCAAAATCCCCCGATTTTACCCCAAAAATCCCGGCCCGAATCCGCCCAAATTCGGCGTTTTCAGCGCCAAATTCCGGCCCGAAATTCAGATTTTTTTCACCCCAATTCCCACCCCCAGAAATGAGAGGTTTCGCCCCAAAATCCGATCCCCCCTCCCCACGAAAGGGAATTTTTTTAACCCAAAAGGGAATTTTTTTAACCCCAAAAATGGAATTTTTTAACCCAAAAGGGAATTTTTTATCCCGAAATTGAGTCGGAAAATCCAACCCTGGGATTGGGCGTTTTTACATCCCAAAATTGGGGGTTTTTTACCCCAAAATTTGGATTATTTTACCCCAAAATCCACCCCAAAAACGGGAATTTTTACCCCAAAATCCACCCCAAAAACGGGAATTTTTACCCCAAAATCCACCCCAAAAATGGGAATTTTTACCCCAAAATCCACCCCAAAAATGGGAATTTTTACCCCAAAATCCACCCCAAAAACGGGAATTTTTACCCCAAAATCTGCCCCAAAAATCCGTTTTTTTTACCCCCAAATCCACCCTCAAATTCCAGTTTTTTAACCCCAAAATCCACCCCAAAATCCGGGATTTTTGCCCCAAAATCCACCCCCAAAATCCAGTTTTCAACCCCAAATTCCAGCCCCGTTTTGGGTGTTTTTCATCCCCTAAAAAGGACATTTTTACCCCAAAATCCGCCCTCAGATGGGGCATTTTCATCCCAAAATCCACCTGCAAACTCTGAGCGTTTTCACCCTAAAAACAACCCCCAAACTGCGCGTTTTTACCCCAAAATCCGCCCCAAAATCGGCATTTTTTTACCCCCAAATCCACCCAAAAAATGGGATTTTAACCCCCAAATCCACCCCCAAAAAACGGGAATTTTACCCCAAAAATCCTCCCCCAAATTGGGAATTTTTACTCCAGAGTCCACCCAAAAAATGGGAATTTTTACCCTGAAATCCACCCCAGAACTCGGAATTTTCATCCCAAAATCCACCCCAAAATTCGTAATTTTTTACCCCCAAATCCACCCCAAAATGGGATTTTTTTACCCCCAAAACCGGGAATTTTAACCCTCAAACTTACCCCAAAACTGGGAATTTTAACCCCAAAACTCGCTCCAAAAATGGGGAATTTTTACCCCCAAATCCACCCCCAAACTGGGATTTTTTACCCCAAAATCCACCCAAAAATCCGACCCAAAAACGGGAATTTTTACCCCAAAATCCACCCTTGAAATGGGAATTTTCACCTCCATATCCACTCCAAAAATGGGGATTTTTTACCCCAAAATCCACTCTGAAAATGCGAATTTTTACTCCACAGTCCACACAAAAATGGGAATTTTTTACCCCAAAATCCACCCAAAAATGGGAATTTTTTACCCCAAAGTCCACCCAAAAACGGGAATTTTTTACCCCAAAATCCTCCCAAAAATGTAATTTTTTTACCCCAAAATTGAGCATTTTTACCCCAAAATCCGCTCCAAAAATGGGAATTTTTTACCCCCAAATCCACCCCCAAACTGGGAATTTTCACCCCAAAATCCAACCCTAAAATGGGAATTTTTCACCCCAAAATTGACATTTTTCACCCCAAAATTGACATTTTTCACCCCAAAATTGACATTTTTCACCCCAAATCCCGCCCCATCAACCCCCACCCCCAAAATTCACATTTTTCACCCCCAAAACTGAATTTTCCACCCTTAAAACTTCGTTTTTAAACCCAAAATCCCATTTTTTAACCCAAAATCCCATTTTCTTAACCCAAAATTTGATGTTTTTGGCTTTGACCCCAAATCCCCCCGAAATGAACCCAAAATTTCCCCTCCCCTCCCCCCACCTCGATGCTCACCCCGCTGCGGCCACCGCGTCACCCCAAAGCTTCACCCTGAAAAATCCACCCCAAAATCCCGGTTTTTCACCCCAAAATCCACCCCCAGAAATGGGAATTTTAACCCTGAAATTCACCCTAAAAATGGGAATTTTTACCCCAAAAATTGGGAATTTTAACCCTGAAATTCACCCTAAAAATGGGAATTTTTATCCTGAAATTCACCCTAAAAATGGGAATTTTTACCCCAAAATTCAACCCTAAAATGAGAATTTTTAACCCTGAAATTCACCCTAAAAATGGGAATTTTTACCCCAAAAATTGGGAATTTTAACCCTGAAATTCACCCTAAAAATGGGAATTTTTATCCTGAAATTCACCCTAAAAATGGGAATTTTTACCCCAAAATTCAACCCTAAAATGAGAATTTTTAACCCCAAAATTCACCCTAAAAATGGGAATTTTTACCCCAAAAATTGGGAATTTTAACCCCAAAATTCACCCTAAAAATGGGAATTTTTACCCCAAAATTCAACCCTAAAATGAGAATTTTTAACCCTGAAATTCACCCTAAAAATGGGAATTTTTACCCCAAAATTCAACCCTAAAATGGAAATTTTCAGCCCCAAATCCACCCCAAAATCCCGGTTTTTCACCCCAAAATTCACCCCAGAAATGGGAATTTTAACCCTGAAATTCACCCTAAAAATGGGAATTTTTACCCCAAAAATCAACCCTAAAATGGAAATTTTCAGCCCCAAATCCACCCCAAAATCCCGGTTTTTCACCCCAAAATTCACCCCAGAAATGGGAATTTTAACCCTGAAATTCACCCTAAAAATGGGAATTTTTACCCCAAAAATCAACCCTAAAATGAGAATTTTTAACCCTGAAATTCACCCTGAAAATGGGAATTTTCAGCCCCAAATCCACCCCAAAATCCCGGTTTTTCACCCCAAAATTCACCCCAGAAATGGGAATTTTATCCCTGAAATTCACCCTGAAAATGGGAATTTTTACCCCAAAAATTGGGAATTTTAACCCTGAAATTCACCCTAAAAATGGGAATTTTTACCCCAAAATTCAACCCTAAAATGGGAATTTTTACCCCAAAAATTGGGAATTTTTATCCTGAAATTCACCCCAAAAATGGGAATTTTTACCCCAAAAATTGGGAATTTAAGCCCTAAAACTCAACCTAAAAATGGGAATTTTAACC